ACTGCTCTTTTTTGTGGTTCATTTGACAATTAGTTTGACTGCATGAAACCCACACTTTAGGTGTGTAAATGAAATTTTCCTTTCAAACTTGAGTCTAACATAGATTAAGTGGTGTTATTACAATACTATGTTTCAAGGAAAGTTCAGATCATTTTGTATTTTGTATGACATTTAGATGTTAGCATTTGTTATCGTACCTGTATTATCTTCTTGTTTATCTCCTATTTTATTTCGTTTTATTTTTCAATCACTTCCCACTGTGCACATGCAGGTGACAAATCCAGCTATTGATCCTCTTAGGGAGGGACTGGTTATGTCTCTTGAAGTTAATATTGGAAAACGTGGAAATATATTGGAAGTTGGACCTGAGAATGCATCACAGGTCTCAATAATTGTTCTCATATCTCTGCCATTCTTGCTGGAATTTCTTACCCAAGTGGACTTAGTCTCATAGTTTAAAATTTCATTTCTTAACAGCCTTAATTATTTATGAACAGGTTAATTTATCTAGTCCTGTACTAAATGAGGGAGAGCTTGAGTTCTTGCTGAAGGATCCTTTATTGAAACCTCAAGTTCTACCAACATTTTTTGATATACGTAAAGGAGTTGAAGGTTCCTTGGAAAAGAGACTTCTTAAGCTCTGTGAAGCAGCTGATGAAGCTGTTCGTAATGGTTCTCAACTGCTTGTTGTCTCTGACCGGTCTGAAGAACTGGTAAGTCACTCTTCTAGTTTCTTGATGTACTTATGCCAAAAAATATCTTTACTACTTCTCGGTTTTAAAAACCTGTGCAGAACTGAAAACTTGTATGGCACTGGCTTTAATGAGTCAGTTCAGGTGTATTATGAATATTATCCTGAGTGGCTCTCCAGAGTTCCCTTTGTTTCTAGCGTTATTCGGCAAGCACTTTAAATCCTGCATGTTTAATCGAGTGGGTATGTGCTTAGCAAATATGTGTAAACTTCAATGTATTGGTATATGCTTAGGTGCATGGATGCATGTACATGTGTGTTCTTCTCAGTTAATGGGATACAGCATATATTGTTGATATTGCATAATTTTCAGGATTAAACTATAATGTATAACTTTTCTCATCTCGTCTGTAGCAAGTCCACACAAACTTTGCAGATCTAGAAGTACAAGACCCAGTTAAATGCAAGCTTTAACCTGCTCATGCAAAAAATATAGTATTAAAGAGCCTGTGGATATTTTGTCAATCCTCATTTTGGCGTACACTGTCAGCCATTTCTCTTTCCATCTCTTTCTGTGCATACTGTTCCCCTAGACATTTTTGTGCTTTGCTTGGTGTTCAATCTTTATGCTGCTTTTTTCTTATGGTGTGTAATAGGTTGATCTATGGTCAGTTTTCCTTTTTTTCTTTTAGGCTTGAGGATGAACTTGAGTAAGCATTAAATTCTCTATATCATGATGATATCTCTACTCTTTTCCTCCAGGAACCAACACGACCTGCAATTCCAATACTTCTTGCTGTTGGTGCTGTTCATCAGCATCTTATTCAAAATGGTCTGCGTATGTCGGCGTCAATAATCGCTGATACTGCTCAGTGCTTCAGCACACATCACTTTGCCTGTCTGATTGGATATGGAGCAAGGTTATTCTCCTTATTTTGCAAAAACCTTTTTGAAATCTACTTTCTTGGTTTCATTATATCTTTAGAAAGACTTAGGTTTTGTTTGATACATGGAAATATTTTCTAGTTTTCATTTTCTAGATTTATATGTATTTCATGCACAAAGCCATACAATTAAGTTAATGATGAAGAAAACACTTATGAAAATGATGGTGGAAATAAAAATTCGAAAAAGTTATTTTCAGCAATTTGTAGAAAACTTTGTTTTTGTTTTAGTTAATCTAGAAATATGTGATTTCACATGCTTCCATAAGTAGAGACATACAGAAACACATGTGAAATTAGTAAGATGAAAACTAAGAAGTGTGTTGATATGCCAAAAGGAATCTTAATAATGTTGGATTAAAAATATGTTGATGTACCATGAAATTTATGGCAATATACTAGTGCAATGCTTGCCATAAGTCTCTGTATACTAAATGCAATATATCAGCCATTCTTGTCATCAATTTCTTTTCAGGGGCTGGTCCATATCAATCTTCCACATTTCTTCTCGTAATCTTGTTGGATTTATAGCCGAAAGTAAAAATTTCTCTTTTGCTCCCTTGGAAACTTTTTGCTGGGATCATTTTTCATAGTTAGAAGAAATTTTCCTATTCCATTGTACTCATCAAGTAAAGGGTGATTGCTCTCTAGATGACAAACCCATGTTTCTCTTTTAGGGGATGACATCAAAATGTAAATCCTTTTTTGAGATAGAAAAAAAAAAAGCTTTATAAGGAAGGAAAAGATATAAAGTGGAAGGCTGGGTATCCTCCTAAAAAGTATAGTTATAGAATCTGCGAATCTTCGAACTATTGGCATGATGCAGTACCTTATACCTATTTAATTAACTATTTCTATCATGTTGGGTATAAGTAAGACACATATTTAAGGTTTTGGAAATTTTATAGCATGCAATAAACACTATGTGTTCGTTATTTGGAAGAAGCTGCATTGATGTTTTGGTTTCCATCTGTTAGCATATTATTTCCTCCTCAGTACTTGTTAAAAATTGCACTTATGTAGGATATTATCAACTTTTCCAAGTTACTCTGTCTGAAAGTGTCAGGAGGATTGTATTTTGTCCTTTTTTCTCCAGGTCCTACTGCAAATAGATTACGATCTTTTACCTGTCACTATATACGGACTGAACAATATATTTCTCCTAATATAACTTCTGCAGTGCTGTATGTCCATACTTGGCACTGGAGACATGTAGGCAGTGGCGCTTGAGTAGCAAGACTGTGAACTTGATGCGTAATGGAAAGATGCCAACTGTAACAATTGAGCAGGCTCAAAAAAATTATTGCAAGGTCAGTAGTTAAGCAATATTTTAAGACATTTGATTCTGCAGTTTTCCTTTTTCACATCTATTATTTTCACATTCCCTTCCAGTATAGGGGTATAGCAATCTTTCTGTTTGATTAAATCAGTAGAATTTTGAATTTAGCTGAAAATTTTTGGTCCGATACTTAATCCGATACTTAACCAAGGTGACAGATCTTAAGCATCTAAATGAGACCTGATCAACATTTTTTTTTATAAAAGAAACATTATTAGAAATGAAGAAAAAAGATAAGGAACAACCACATTAAGGATTTTTGTTCTGCCAATTCCATTTTCAGTATTAGCTTCATTATTAAAAAAATCGTATGACCTTTGGACGGATCTGGAAACAACATAACAATAAGAATTATCAGTTATGTGATGCTGAGCAGCTAGGAAACCAACAAACACAAACTTCTCTTCTTGTAATGCCTGTTTTGGTTGCCCAAGTAACTCATATTTAGTACA